CTAAACTTAAAATACACTGGATTTAATACAGCATGTGAGGTTTAAAAGGACAGAAATCTAAACCCGGTCTATAGTCAGGACTAAAATAGGACTAAATCAGAACTAAACCAGGTGTAAACCAGGACTATACCATGAAAACCGTAGCAACAGAACCAGACCCAGAAACTGTTTAAAAACTTGAAAATTCACTATTTAGAAAGTCTCATAACAAATGCTACTAAATCAGAACTAAACCAGGACTACCTTAGGACTAGGACAAAAAACAATAAGTAGAACATTTAAAAGTAAAAAAACACACACCAAAACTAAACCAGGACAAGAACAGGACCAAACCAAGACTACATAGACCACATTTGTGCATAAATGACATCAAAATTGTGACTAAAAAGGGACTTATTGGGTCCTGATTTGAGCCCAGTTTAGTCCTGATAGTAGTCCTGTTCTAGTCCAGGTTAAGATCTTAAATTAATCACAGTTTAGTCCCAATTTCGCTGTGTTTTATGTGTAAATGTGAACATACCCTACATTTGGAAATAATCTTGGACTAGACCAGAACTGATCCAGGACTATAACAGAACCAAACCAGGTCTACATCATGACCAAACTGGGCTCAAGCCAGGACAAGTAAATGTACTGTAACCCTGTGGGACTGGAGCTCACTCTGGTCATGTTTTACACAGTCTAGTTTCCTGCTCATATAGAAAAGTTGCGTAGAGTCACAGTGTGTTTGGTAAATTGGCGGTGCTGATATGAGGTGATGTGACCTTTATAAGCCTAAAGCTCTTTAGAGAAAAGTGAGACGAGATCTGACCTACTGCTGCTGTGGGAACCAACTACAGCGTCTCTACTGCAGGGAGCCAAGAAAGGTTAGCAGTGCACTGTGTCCAGAATGTACAGCAGGAACAGGTCTGTGCACGACTACTTATACTTCTGTAACAGTCAGCTAAGATCACTATAAAAACTACTACAGTAACTACTACTACTACTACTACTACTACTACTGTCTGTCTCTAAAGCAGAGGAAGAACAAGTCTGTACTACAACTTACACTTCTGTAACAGTCAGCTAAGATCACTATAAAAACTACTACAGTAACTACTACTACTACTACTACTACTACTGTCTATAAAGCAGAGGAGGAACAAGTCTGCACTACAACTTATACTTTTGTTAACATTCAACTAAGTTCACTATTAAAACTACTACCACATTACTACTACTACTACTATCTGTCTATAAAGCAGAGGAAGAACAAGTTTTTGCACTAGAACAACTTTTACTTTTCTTAACATTTAAATAAGTTCACTATTAAACCTATTAATACATTACTACTACTACTACTACTTACTACTGTTTGTCTATAATGTAGAGGAGGAAGAAGTCTGTGCACTGCAACAACTTTTACTGTTGTTAACATTCAACTAAGTTCACTATTAAAACTACTACCACATGAGTATTACTAATACTACTATTACTACTACTGTCTGTCTATAAAGCTGAGGAGGAAGAAGTCTGCACTACAACTTACACTTTTGTTAACATTCAACTTAGCCTAAGTTCACAAAAAAAATTGTGAAAATCACATTACTACTTAAACTACTAATACTACAATAAGAAAACAGCACAATTCACTCATTCTAACAACAAAAGGCTAGATACTTTAGTTACTTCTACTACAGCTACTACTACTAAAACTACCAACTATTCTACTACTACTACTATTACTACTACTACTTCTACAACTACTACAACAATCAAGGCACTACTACAATTCACTTACTATAATAACATCTGACTGCATTCTATAGTTACTTTTATATGGCAACTACTACCAGCTGTACTACTACTACTACTACTCCTACTACTACTACTCCTACTACTACTACTACTACTACTACTACTGCTGCTGCTGCTACTACTACTACAACAATTAAGGCACTACTACAGTTCACTTACTACAATAACATCTGACTACTATTACTACTACCAGCTCTTCTACTACTACTACTACTACTACTACTACTACTTCTGCTGCTGCTGCTACTACTGCTACCTGCTACTACTACTACTACAATTAAGGCACTACTACAGTTCACTTACTACAATAACATCTGACTACTACTACTACTACCAGCTCTTCTACTACTACTACTACTACTACTACTACTACTACTACAACAACAATCAAGGCACTACTACAATTTACTTATTATAATAACATTTGACTGCATTCTATAGTTACTTCTATATGGCGACTACTACCAGCTGTACTACTACTACTACTACTACTACTACTACTACTACTACTACTACTACTACTACTACTACTACTACTACTACTACTACTACTACTACTACTACTACTACTACTACTACTACTACTACTACTACTACTGCTACTACTACTATTACTACTACTACTACTACTACTACTACTGCTACTAAAAACACAAATATGTCACACAAAAATAACTTACTAAATACCATGTGAGTTTGTTATGTGTTCCTATTTTAATAACTAGGTTCTAGAAGCTCTACTCACACTATACGTCAATAAAACCAAGTCAAAACATTTCCCCCTGAGCAAACAAGCAGCCCTCTTCTATATGTTATGTTTCAGTGTACATGTTCTCTGTACATTGATTAGAGTGGAGCATAAATCTCCATAAGTCCAGAACATATGCAGAGACTCGTGTGGTTCCAGGACTGTGATGTTTGTGAATGTGCATGTTTGTCCTGGAGTTAGACACAGGATTACACAGCCATATGTCCGACTCTCCCCTACACATATTCATCATATTTCTTCAAACATGGAAGACCGCTGGGAATACCACGATCCACAGCAGGGAGGGAGTGGAGGGAAGCTGTTGTTGTGTCCTTAGGCAAGACACTTCACTCACCTTGCCTCGTTTGATTGTGGTGTGTGTTGATGGTGGTTGGAGTGGCTACTACTACTACTATACTACTACTGCAACTAATGCTACAGATACCACCTCTACTACTACTATTATCACTACTACTACAACTACTACTACTACTACAAACTGCATACAGTACAACAATAATGTGGCTACTATTACTATTATTACTGCTGCTACTGTAACCATAAAAACTACTTTTCCTACTACTAATACTGCAACTAATACTACTGATACTACTTCTACTACTAATACTACTACTACTACCACCACTTCTGCTAGGTCTACTACTAAAAGCTGCTCTACGTCTACTGCTACGTGTACTATTAGCCTACCTGTACTATGACCACAACTCATACTACTACTTCCACTACTCCTAATACTCCTACTACTAGAAATACTACTTCTAATGGCATACAAATATAACGTGGCTACTATTACTGTTGCTGTAACCATAACAACTACTTATCCTACTACTACTACAGCAACTAATACTACTGGTACTACTTCTACTAATACTACTACTACTACTACTACTTCTATTAGGTCTACTACTAAAACTACCTGCTCTACTTTTGCTACTACTTGTACCACTACTGTACCACATGGCTACTACTACTATTACTGCTGTTACTGTTTCTGTAAACATAACAACTACTTGTCCTACTACTACTACAACTAATACTATTGATACTACCATTACTAGGTCCCTAGGTCTACTACTAAAACTACCTGCTCTACTTCTACTACTACTACTACTGTACCTGTACTATAACTTCAATTCCTAGTGCTACTACTGCTACTACTACTTGCCTACCACTACTACAAGAGACAAAATTCTAATTGCAAACAAAAATAACATGGCTACTACTACTATTACTGCTGCTGCTACTGTAAACATAACAACTACTTATCCAACTACTACTACTACAACTAATACTACTGATACTACTTCTACTACAAATGCTACTACTACTACTACTACCACTTCTATTAGGTTTACTACTAAAACTACCTGCTCTACTTCTACTACTACCTGTACTCTTAGCCTATCTGTACTGTACTACCACTACTCATACTACTCCTACTACTACTCCTAGAAACACAAATTGTAATTGCACAAAAAAACAACATGGCTACTACTACTATTACTGCTGTTACTGTTTCTGTAACCATAACAACTACTTGTCCAACTACTACTACTGCAACTAATACTACTGATATTACTTCTAATACTACTAGTACTGGCACTAGTAGTCTACTACTAAAACTTTCTGCTCTTCATCTACTACTACCTCTACTAGAACTTCTCCTAGTACTACTACTATTAGCCTACCACGACTATTAGAAACACGACTTATAATTGCTTACAAAAATAACGTGGCTACTACTGATACTGCTGCTGCTGCTACTGTAAACATACTGTAACTACTTATCCAAGTACTACTACTACAACTAATGCTGTTGATATTACTTCTACTACTAATATTTAGTAGAATTAAAAACTACATACACTATACACTGAATTTATTTTGTAGATTATTTATTGTATATTGAATGTAAATGACTATTAATACTTTGCAGCTGAAGTCATCACCTTTCATCATTCAGTGTGATGCTAACAGTAAGCACTGCTCTGTCTGAGACTTTGTTAGACTACATTAGGTGAGTTCATTTGTGCCGTTAAACAAGTTAAAAATAATAAAACCACTAAACAGGACCATGAACGCTTGTATTTCTCACAGATTCCTGAAAATATAAGGTTCAAATCCACTTTGTATTTTTTTTTTTTCAGACAGTCTTAAAAGTTATTTGACTGTATTTGCTGATATGCGCACTGTGTCTCCATGGTAACTGATGAATATTTCACGAATACACATACATGTAGAACACCCCCAGCATGATGTCCCTGGAAAGTATCAATAAATCTAGAACATAATGGACAGATTAATGTGATGGCCCGACTCTTGTTTGTTTCCATATTTGTCCTGGAGTTAGACAAACGATTATGGAGCCATATTGAGGTGTGTGTGTGTGTGTGTGTGTATGTGTGTGTGTGTGTGTGTGTGTGTGTGTACGTACGCCTTCTCCAGACAGTCTTCTCTGGACATGTTCTGCACCAGTAGGTTAGACGCCAGTTTGAACAGCTCCTCCGCCCATTCCTGAAACAAAACAGTCAATAAGTTACCCAGTTAAAAGTTATATATTGAACTTTTGGTACTTTTCTGACTAAGAAAGTTTTCCTCTCAAAATGTGAGCTATGCATGAGTTCACATTTGCACAAACACTGCATACAAATTTGAGCTGAGCAGACTTAACTTGTACCAAACCAGGACTAAAGCAAGTCTTATTAAACCAGGATCAAATCAGGACCAAACCAGGAATAAACCAGGACTAAATCAGGACCAAACCAGGGCTGAAGCAGGACCAAACCAGCAGTAAACCAGGACTAAACCAGGACTAAACCAGGACCAAATGAGAACTAAACCAAGACCAAACTAGAACTAAACCAAGACCAAACTAGGACTAAACCAGGACTGAACCAGGATCAAACAAGGACTAGACCAGGACTAAACCAGGACCAAATCAACAAATCGGGACTAAACCAGGACTGAACCTGGACTAAACCAGGACCAAAGAAGGACCAAACCAGGACTAAACTAGGAATAAACCAGGATCATATCAGGATTAAACCAGGACTGAACCAGAACTAACCCAAGACTACACCAGAACTAGAACAGGACCAAACCAATTCTACATCAGGACCAAACCAGGACCAAACCAGGACCAAACCAGGACCAAACAGGACTAAACCAGTACTAAACTAGGACTAAACCTGGACTAAACTAGGACTGAACAACAAATAACCCAGGACTAAACCAGGACCAAACCAGGACTAAATCAGGACCAAACCAGGACCAAACCAGGACTAAACCAGGACCAAACCAAGACTAAACCAGGACCAAACCAGGACCAAACTAGAACTAAACCAAGAGCAAACCAGGACTAAACCAGGACTGAACCAGGATCAAACCAGGACTAAACTAGGACCAAACCAGGGCTGAAGCAGGACCAAACCAGCACTAAACCAGGACTAAACCAGGACCAAACCAGGACCAAACTAGAACTAAACCAAGACCAAACTAGGACTAAACCAGGACTGAACCAGGATCAAACCAGGACTAAACCAGGACCAAACCAGGGCTGAAGCAGGACCAAACCAGCACTAAACCAGGACTAAACCAGGACCAAACTAGAACTAAACCAAGACCAAACCAGGACTAAACCAGGACTGAACCAGGATCAAACCAGGATCAAACAAGGACTAGACCAGGACTAAACCGGGACCAAATCAACAAATCGGTACTAAACCAGGAATGAACCTGGACTGAACCAGGACCAAACAAGGACCAAACCAGGACTAAACTAGGACTAAACCAGGATCATATCAGGATTAAACCAGGACTGAACCAGAACTAACCCAAGACTACACCAGAACTAAAACAGGACCAAACCAGTTCTACATCAGGACCAAACCAGGACCAAACAGGACTAAACCAGAACTAAATTAGAACTAAACCAGGACCAAACCATCTTATATGATTGAACTTACAGGATAAAAAACTAAACCTTTTGAAAATACCAGTGGAAAAAAATATAAATAATTCTTTGTTTTTTATAATGAACAGACACACATACATAATACATACAATATTACAGCGCAGTATGATGTTTAGAGCCTCAATATAAAAGCTCAAGTATAAGGTTATGGATCTGGTAAACTTCATTTGCTATTATCAGGCTTTGTTTTGTTGAGAAATTCATCTTAAACCTCCATTTGAACTGCCTGACCCTTCCATTCCATGCTACATTTTCCACACTGTGTCTTATAATAACAAGCTCATAGTCACGGGTCACTGTAAGTAAACTGTACGTATAAAACACAATAGTGGACAGGATTCATTGTAAACTCTATTATGTTAAATATACAATGTGGTTTAAACATATCTGACGAGAGGAAGAGACGATAACCACACTCGATCTCTACTGGACTGAAGGTAAAAAGGAGCTGGTAACTTGAAAACTACCACTGCATGACATCACAAGGTGGAACAGAACATTTTGAGCTGCAGAGATAAAATAAAACAGTGCAATTCACTCATTATAACAACAAAAGGCAAGATACTTGAGTTACTTCTACTACTACTACTACTACTACTACTACTACTACTACTACTGCCACTACCAGCTCATCTTCTTCTTCTACTACTACTACTACTTCTACTACTACTACTACTACTACTACTTCTACTACTACTGCCACTACCAGCTCATCTTCTTCTTCTTCTACTACTACTACTACTACTACTACTACTACTACTATTACCACCAGCTCTTCTACAACTAGCAGTTTTTCTACTACTACTACCAGCTCGTCTTCTTCTACTACTACTACTACCACTACTACTACTACTACTACCACCAGCTCTTCTATAACTAGCAACTTTTCTACTACTACTACTGCTACTACTATTATTACCCCTACCACTACCACTACTACTACTACTATTACTACTACTACTACTACTACTACTATTACCCCTACCACTACCACTACTACTACTACTATTACTACTACTACTACCACTACTACTACTATTACTAGTATTACTACTACTACCAGCTCTTCTTCTACCAGTACCACTACTACTACTACTACTACTACTACTACTACTACTACTACTATTACTACTATTACTACGACTACCAGCTCTTCTTCTACCACTACCACTACTACTACTACTATTACTACTACCACTACTACTACTATTACTACTATTACTACTACTACCAGCTCTTCTTCTACCACTACCACTACTACTACTACTACTACTATTACTACTACTACTACCACTACTACTACTATTACTAGTATTACTACTACTACCAGCTCTTCTTCTACCACTACCACTACCACTACTACTACTACTATTACTACTACCACTACTACTATTATTACCACTACTACTACTACTACTACTATTACTACTACTACTACCACTACTACTACTATTACTAGTATTACTACTACTACCAGCTCTTCTTCTACCAGTACCACTATTAATACTACTACTACTACTACTACTACTATTACTACTATTACTACTACTACCAGCTCTTCTTCTACCACTACCACTACTACTACTACTACTACTACTACTACTACTACTATTACCACTACTATTACTACCACTACTACTACTATTACTACTACTACTACTACTACTATTATTACCACTACTATTACTACCTACTACTACTACTACTATTACTACTACTACTACTACTATTACTACTATTATTATTACCACTACTACTACTACTACTACTACTACTACTACTACTATTATTACCACTACTATTACTACCACTACTACTACTATTACTACTACTACTACTACTATTATTACCACTACTACTACTACTACTACCACTACTACTACTATTACTACTATTACTACTACTACAAGCTCTTCTTCTTCCACTACTTCTACTACTGCTGCTGCTGCTGTAGCTGTTAACTTGAAAACTACCACTGCATGACATCACAAGGTGCAACATAACATTTTGAGCTTCAGAGATAATAATAAAGGATTACTCAGATTACTCCAAGATGTGTGAATGAAACAAAACACAACTCCAAGTCTGTTTTTAATGAGGTAACAACATTTAAACATGGCAAAGTTCACCAAAACACTTACTTTCGTTACTGCTATATGGCTACTACTACTGTACTACAACTACAACTACATTTAAGGCACTACTACAATTCACTTACAATAATAACATCTGACAAAAGATTGATGTTTATATTCCAAATCCATACTGTAATCTACTAACTTATTCTCAGTGTAGACTTATAGTAATAAATGATGTGGAGGTGTATAAAAAGCCTCTCTCTGACACAGTAACTTGTATTTGACGCAGGAAGTACTTTGAAACGTACAGTGACATTATGTAAACACAGTGAAACATACCACACATTGGCGTTAGCATGTCAGCGGGTCACAGATTATGACTAAAGGAAGTCACACTCATCACGTCAACTCCATTTGATTTACATGAGATTTACATGCTGCGGCGCACGTTTTGTAACAGATGATTTTTTTCCAGAGCGAGACTACACTGATGAGTTGCCATGTTAAGATTAAAGGGCCCATATTATGATATTTTCTGATCTATGTTATAATCAGTGTTGGGAAGATTACTTTTAAAATGTATTCCCCTACTGATTACAGATTACATACCCCAAAATGTAGTTTGTAACATACTCCATTAAATTACTTAAAGTGAGTAACGTAATCTGAATACTTTGGATTACTTGATATTGTCATGCTTTTTAAAACTACATGAATGTAGCAAGCACATCCTAAAAATTCATGTTTGTTCTCTTCAAATCGGCCCTGGTTTAGTCCTGGTTTAATCCTGGTTTTAGTCCTGGTTTAAACTTGGTTTAGTCCTGGTTTAGTCCTGGTTTAGACCTGGTTTTAGACCTGGGTTAGTCCTGGTTTAAACCTGGTTTAGTCCTGGTTTAGTCCTCGTTTAGACCTGGTTTTAGACCTGGTCAAGACCTGGTTTAGATCTGGTTTAGTCCTGGTTTAGTCCTGGTTTAGACCTGGTTTTAGTGCTGGTTTAGTCCTGGTTTAGTCCTGGTTTAGACCTGGTTTTAGTCCTGGTTTAGTCCTGGTTTAGACCAGATTTTAGACCTGGTTTAGACCTGGTTTAGATCTGGTTTAGACCTGGTTTAGACCTGGTTTAGACCAGATTTTAGACCTGATTTAGACCTGGTTTAGTCCTGGTTTAGTCCTGGTTTAGACCAGATTTTAGACCTGGTTTAGATCTGGTTTAGTCCTGGTTTAGTCCATATTTAGTCCTGCTTTAGTCCTTCTTTAGACCTGGATTTAGTCCTGGTTTAGTCCTGGTTTAGACCTGGTTTTAGTTCTGGTTTAGACCTGGTTTAGACCTGGTTTAGTCCTGGTTTAGCCCAAAATGTGAAAACAGAAAAATACCGCTGTGTAATCGTTTATTTCAACAAAGTAACTGTAATCCAATTACCTCTCATTGAAACAGTAACTGTAACTGAATACAGTTACTCATAATTTGTACTCTGATTACGTAACTCCGGTACATGTAATCTGTTACTCCCCAACACTGGTTATAATGTTGTTTCCTCAGCAAATTCTAATTTACCTGGAGTTGTGTTTTGTTTCATTCACACATTTAACACACAAATCCTGTACATTTAGGCCAAGTTCTTCTCTCAAACAGAAAATACAAATGTGCTAAAACAGAAAGTGCTCCAGTGTGTTTTTATTCTCTATACATCTTCACTAGAATCATTTAGATTATTTCAGACCTGGAATTGTCCATCTCTACTGAATAAAAGGTAGTTGTTATCTTGAAAACTACCACTTCATGACATCACAAGGTGGAACAGAGCATTTTGAGCTTTAGAGATGTAGACAAACTAATAAACCAGGATTACTCACACACATGTGATGAAACAAAACTGGGGGTGGGACTTGATAAAAAAAAAAAAAAAAATCTAATTAATTACAGGCTTTGTAATTAATTAATCTCACTAATCGCATAACAATATTTGCCCCAAAAGCAACATTTATTTTATGTAAATTAATTCTAGTGGACGACTTCATCAAATAATACACACAGACTTTTGAATTCAAGCTTTTTTAATGTCTGGAAAAATTGTCTTAAAAAAAATAAACTGCATTTCATTTCAAAATAGTAAACAAAAGTAATGTCCTGGTCCAAAACAGTCCAAAGAGATTAAAGTGCCATTTTACTTTCAGATGTTACTTTCTGAATGTAATGTATATCTTTCAAACTCTATTCTGCAGTTTGCAATAAACAATGCCTTTGTCAATATTTCCACTGGGTAGTTTTGTTGAATAGAAATGTAGCGTCCAACAGACCCACAGCGCTTTCATGCTCCATTGTTGTATTTGGAACTGTGTGCGTTAGTATAATTGTCTATCACGACATTGTGCACTGACAAACGTACTGTGTTGTTTGGCATGGAAACTGCTATAAAATGCATTAATATTTTTCATGCATTATTGTCTTTGTAAGAATTAATCGCAATTAAGACTTATGTCCCACTCCTAAACAAAACACAGCTGAAGGTACATGGTTAAAAGCTCACAAGAATCCATTTTGTGTGGCCCTTTAAGTGCAAACGCTGCACTCTCTAACATTTCTGGTGTAGATGTTATTGCTTTGTCTAGAATGCTTTACAGTATGGCATTATACTTATCTACGTACATGGAGAAAATCAGGTCAGATCTGTAGAACACAACAAGTAATAGCATGTCCATGGAGACAAGCAATAAAGTGACATAGTGCACCTTTAAAGGGCCCATCTCATGCCAAATCATTATTTTCACATTGTATCTTCTGCACATAAACTTACATCTTATTGATTTCTTGGAGACAGTCACAGACCAGGAACTATGAAAAGCCGACTATTGCTCCTCCCCCCGCCCGTCCTGAGAAAGCACAGGCTCCACCCTCCAAACGTGACGTAGACGACGAGTGAGCTGCTCTTCCTCCGCTCATCTCAGGGAGGGAGGGGGAGACAGACGTGCACCCTGATAGTGGTAGAAATAAACTTTTATTCATCATGGAGATACAGCGCGTTCAGCCGCATGTGTTGGACCCGGAATCAGACGAGGACTTGGAGGTGCACGAAGCTCAAGCACCGCGTCCACATCAGCTGAACATTACTGATTGGTAAAGTATTAATAAACACTAGTAGATAAACTTATTATATCATGTAACTGCAGTGTAGAACAATGATCTCATGCTGTCGCTTTTGTTTAGGTGTTCATGTGGGAACTGTTAGTCAATGCAGGGTGGAGGCGGTGGAGTGGGGGAGGGGGCAGGTGCAAAGTGCTTTCTGCTACGTCAAATGCGTCATAGGTGTATCTGCATCGTTGTAGCAGCTTTAGTTCGTTGTCACGTGGGAGGGTGGCAGAAATACACTGCAATTTGTTAAAAAAAACACAGACTCAATCTAACAAACACTTCAGCGACATATACAAGGCCCAAACATCACTCTTAGAAGGTAGAAAGCTCTGAAAAGTTGATTTTTCATGAGATGGGCCCTTTAAGCAAGTTCAGAATACATGCTTTAATCGTGTGAGGACTACAAAATTGGAGTCAGTGGCTCAGTGGTTTTCGGACCAAGTTCTTGCCTTACCAACCAATGTATTATTATTAGTAGTATTATTATGGACTACAGTGATTTGGAGTTGCAGTTGCGATGTTGCTTTTGGTCCTGTTCTAGTACTGGTTGAGTCCTGGTCTTGGTTCTAGCTTCAGAGGTTCATAAAATGTGATGGATTCAGAAACACTGGTTATTACAAGGTTCAGATCTATAGTAAATTGAATGAAGCGCAGTATGGGAGCTCTGACCTCGACCGTGCTGTGACATGTATTGTGGCGCAGAGGTCAGTCACCCTCACGTCCATCTATGCGTCTCTCTTATGACAGTTTAAATGCATCTGTGGTCGTCATGGGAGCGGTTACCTTGGCGATCTCCTCCTGGAAGGCCATGAAGTTCAGGTATGTGATGTTGACCATGTCCGGGCCGCTCACCACCGTCAGCATGCGGTTCTCCATCTTCCCCGCCATCGTGCTGACGTCCAACAGCTCGCGCAACTTCGCCTCCTGGAAAACACAAGAAAAAACACATCATAAGTATAATAAAAAGTGTTACATCACAACTAGGGCTGGAAATCACAGGGTTCCTCATGATTCGATACGACACTCAATACATGGCTCACGATATTATCACGACATGTTGACAAGTGGTAATCGATATATTTCACATGATACACTGTGATATGATTCTGTTTTTTAAGAACCAAATATTTTTTAGCAACAATATTTCTTTATTAAACCACTTCTTGCGCAAAGTTAACATGAAAAACACTTATTTTAATCATCAACACAGTGAATATGTTGAGTGTATTGCATAAAAATGTTTCCTTCCACTAAATAAGCAACAAAATTGGAGTGTGGTCACAAAAAAAATTACTAAAAGATACCAAAAAATACTCTTGACGATATATCGGTACAGCACTCTACGGTAAGGACACCGCTTCACCAAATATAGTTTCACAATATATCGATATTTCAGGATTTCTGCATATGTTGTACCCTTGGAAATGAGGAATGTTGCACTCCTGAAAATAGGGAGAAAGATTCATGAGAGCGATTGAGTGTTGTTCCTCTCACAGGAGGAGAAGAAACAGCGAGAAGTTGTGGGTGAAAGCATTACCAATCACTAAAACAAAGGATCCCAGGTTTAGTAGTCAATTACAGATGATATGATTACAATTCTGTTTAATGAAATGGCAGAACCATTACCGAAAAATGACATAGAATAAACATTTTAGCAGACTTTTTGTATTTATATAGTTTTTAAGGCCTATGCAGATGAATATTTATTGCAAACTGTTTCCAGGTTGTAACCGTTTTCTCTCTTAACATGAAATCACATTATAAATTACATCACCACCAATAAGGACAGAGCATAGCATTAGGGGCATAAACTGTAGTACAGGCGTCTCCAACCTGTAGCTTCGGGAACTACCGGTAGTTCTCCACCCCCTTCCAAGTAGCTCGCCCAGGGATTTCTAGATTATACATATTGCTCTGAATAACTCCAATTTGATTGATTAAATGCCCATTTCCTTTGTAAATGTATCATTTTGATGCCTACCGTATATTCCGCACTATTAGGTGCTCTGGATTATAAGGCACCTTGTCATAGAATGGTCTATTTTCGAACTTTTTTCACAAATAAACCGCATCGGACTTTAAACAAAACACAACAGTTGGATGGGTCAGTTGGACTTTGTTTGTGGCGTTCACGGTGACTCTGGGCTTTGTTCAGTTGTGGCGTGTAGGGAGGGTGCTGTCTGGGATCGCTGGATTGTCGTCGTGTTCGCAGTGACTCAGTTGTTCAGTCGTGTCTAGAAGTGGCACATTGCACTCGCTTTTTCAGTTCATTCCTCTGTTCCATTCCTGGTCCGCGTGGAGTGATGAGTGTGGCTGTGGGTGTTTTTCGGTGCACGGTTGCTGTCTGCTCTGTGCGGGTGGTGCAGTTTTGTAGTTTACTGAAGTCGTGCTGGGACACCTGAGTGGATTCGTGTATAGGGAGCTCTGGATTGCGTGTCGCATGGTCGTTTTTTTGATGGGGTTGGAGGTTTAAGAGCATGTCCAACAGTTCTGAAAATACGGTAATTTTGTGCACTGATAACTGGATAATGGGTTATGTTTTATAGGCATCTAAATGTACCTCATTTTCGACTTACCATGGCTCTTATATTTACAAAATTTCTGGCGACCACTAAAATGAGTAGCTCTCTGGCATTTTCATTTAATAAAAAGTAGCTCACAGGAGGAAAACGATCGGAGACCCCTGCTGTAGGACCATTCTAACCTATTACACACACCCATAATCACAACGGTTGTTTTGGTAAATACTGAATTACAATATAATGAAAAACAAGAAAATGAACCAGTTAAAAACAAAGAGAACTGAAACTTGCTGTGTAATCATCCAATAAAACGTATAATGTGATATTTCTGCAGTTTTGTGGTGCATTTGATACTTGAACCTCAGCGAAAACATTAAAGGACTCATATTACACTTCCTGATCTATGTTATAATGTTGTTTCCTAGAGGTGTAACGATATCCAAGTCTCACAATACGATATCCTCACTGTACGATATTTACTGCGATAATGTGGAAAAGCTCACGATATGGTGGGGAGGCTCACGATTAGGGATGTAACAATATCCAAATCTCTCTGTACGATATTTTCACGATATACATCTCACGGTACGATATTTATTGCGATATTTTGTGAAGTCTAATATGCTACTTTTCCTCTAAAAATATCTTGACAAGACTTAATCCAAAGAACTAAGACTTAAAAGTGTTAGAACTGTTATTTCTTCTTGTAGTCTACACTGAAATAGAGCAAAGGATCATGGTCTATGTAGTTCCCTATGTCGTTTTTAGCTACTTCTGCACTATAACACTATAAAAAGACTTGGAATTCGATATATTGTGATGGTCCACAATATTATTGTGAGAACTTTGACGATATGATATCACGATATTTCGGTTATTGTTATATCGTGATTGTTTCCTCATCACAAACAGACCTGGAGTCGTTTTGTTTCATTCGAACATGTTTCACACACAAATCCTGCAGATTTAGGCTGAGTTCTTCTCTCAGAAAATGCTCGGTTCCTCCCTGTGATGTCATGACGTAATACAGGAAGTGCTTCAGTGTGTTTTTAAACTCCGTACACCTTCACTTGAATCATTTAGATCGTTTCAGACCTGGAATTGACAATCTCTACTGAACAGAAGGTAAAAGACAGCTGCTGACTTGAAAACTTCCCCTTCATGATTCAATTCAATCTTTATTAAGAGCATGTCATATCTGGTTCATAGTATTAAAAAACAGAAAACAGTAAGAATAAAAACAGTTAAACACAGTGCACGTTATGATGTTTACAGACAAGAGCGACAGTGTCTCCACAATTTAGAGGTGAATCTGACAAAGCTCCTCACAGACACACGAGAGCTTCAATCATTCGACGGCTCAGATTCATGGCTCTTACACATAAATTAATAAATACAACATCTGATCGTGACAACACAGGGTCTCACATCACAATTTACAAACATTTCACTGGCGCTACAGAACCTCGGCACTTTCAGTTATGTTCTCAAAGAGTCATTATAGGCCACTGTCAGACTCTGCAAACTCTTTTTCTTATAGTTGCGCCAAAGATGCGCAGTATACAAGGGTGAGAGAAGAATCCCTCAGTCGTCCAGGTAGAATCCATGGCGAGGAGAAAATTCAGTTTGTGGACAAAAGTTCAGAAAAACTACAGAGGATTTTCAGACGGTCTATTTCAAACCTACGGACACTCTAATACAGAAACTGGTCCATCCAAAGGACAAAACACCGAGCCACAACCAAAGCAATATGGTCTACTCTATTCAGTGTAATGAAGACTGAAGTGAACGCTACATTGGAGAAACTAAACAGCTACTTCACAAGAGGATGTACCAACACAGACGAGAGAGCAGCAGTGGACCACAGTCTGCCGTACATCTCCAGCTAAAAGCCACGGGCCGCTCATTTGAGGACAGCGAGGTACAGATTTTAGCCAGAAAAAAGAATTGGTTTGAGAGGGGAGTGAAAGAAGCCATTTTTGTTAAGAAAGAGAATCCTTCTCTAAACAGAAACGGACTCAGACACCATCTACCTGCTATTTACAACTCCATCCTCAAACCTAATTCAAAACAAACAAGAACAACAGGTGTATCCAGGTCAGGTCCAGAGGTGTGGAAGCTCCATTATGACCATGGATTGTTCTGCTAATTAGACCTCACACCCTGTACAGGTCAATAGGCCCAACTAACAAACAGAAACTGTAAACAAGTAGGTGTGTTAGTTTCAGTTAGTTAACTCCTCCCTGCAGATATAAGGAAGTGTCCACCGGCGTCTGACCAGAACTGAAGAAGCAGCTTGGATGAGCTGCGAAACGTCTTCAACCAAACTAACTTCTGTCCAGTCGACAAACTGAATTTTGTCCTCACTATTCAAGGGTGAGCAGAGACATTTAAAAAGTGAAATTTTGACATCACTGGAGCACATGGAGAACTTACGGACAAGCCATAAAGCTCAAGGATAAGGAAAAGGAAAGGATAGTTTTTTGTTTTCTTTTGTTTAAACAATCATAATGTGACTTTTCAGAGCATTGTACTTAATGTCATATTCAAAGCCAAACTGAGAACAGATATTTATGATATCACAAGTGAGTGTTAAACATGTGTGAATGAAACAAAACACAACTCTAGACATGCTTGTGATGAGGACTGACATCATAGCATAGATCAGAAAACAGAGTAATATGGGCCCTTTAAAAGTCAACGCTAATACAAAAGTAACAACCATTCCTCAGTCACAGTTTCAGTATTTCATTCTTAGAACTATTTTGCCCACCAATAGTCGACTTCTATATGAAATGATTCTGAAATGCCCTGAATCCCTCAAAATAAAGCAGAGTGTGAGAGAGGAGAGCCCCGCGTCACTGTGGTGGAGCAGATCTATGTGATTTTAAACAGAGACGACTAAAGGAAGTGAACGCGGCGCTGCTCAGTGTCACTGGATTCTGTGTTGACGTTACACCACAGTCTCAGGTCTGGACAGAGATATAAAGTAGTAAAAAAGTACACATGAAAAATACTAGTCAATACTACTAGCGACTGCTTACTTTTTAAGGTCTCTGAAAGCGTCTTAGATCAGTATTATAGTTAAACTGAACACTTTAAAGCTGCATTTATGTGTTTCATACTTGTGTTGTTTTTGGGGGGATCCGATACTGATACTTGCCCTTGGTGTACTCAACGATACTGATACCAGTCCGATACCATAATGCAAAGAAGTACACTTGGGCTACTTCATTTTGTAACATACCAGAGCAAAAATAAATCTTCTACAAGGCAATTTTTAAAGAAATGCAAGAATAATTACGATTTTGAGGACTAAACTATTGACGATATCTTGACGATAAGTAGTGCTGATTTAACTTTCTACCACAGCATGGATAAAAACAACAATGAGGCCTGTAA